ACCATTGTGCCGCGGAAGAGCCAAGGAACAGGATGAAGACCGCCCTATTGCTTTGCCTGAACAAGAAGACACCCTACGGTTGGCTGGGTAGAAGGAGACGAATCTAAAGCAGCCTTTTCCCTATATCGCCCCTTCCAGCTTCATTGCGATGCCTTTTAGGATGATGGGTTTTCCAGGCACACACAAGATTCGGGCATCGGAGTGGGGAAGAGTGCTCTCTGCCCAGTGTGGGTGTTTGCCGCAAATTCATTGAGTCCCTTACCTGTTGGTTGGTTGGACTCTTAGAACTGGAAGGGGCCACTGAGACTCATCTAGTCCAGCCTCTGGCCAACACAGGAACCCGCAGCTAAAGCGAAATGCTAACAGATGGTTGTTTGGCGGCCCTTCTTCAACCCGAGGAGAGGCACCACCCTAGAAGGAAGTCTGTTTCCACTGTCAGGGGTTTACTGTGGGGCTGGCTCTTCCTGGTTTGGAATTTCCCTTCTTGTGATTTCAGCCTTGTTGGTTCAGTACCTCTGGCGCAGCAAAAGCAACCACCCCCACCCCAAGGACCCTGTGATCGCCAGGTGACGACAGAGCCTTGGCAGCTTGGCCCTGCTTTCACCCCGCCTGTCACTTGGCTTGAGCAGCTGAGTCGGGGCCGGTGCACGTTTACCCCCTCCAACCCGAACTCTAACCCCCTTGATCCTTCCCTGCCCGGTTCATGCCTCGAGGGTTGCCTCTCACCTCTCCACCACCGAAGCCAAGCCGGGGCTGGCCAGGGAGAGTGAGGAAGCCGTGGGGGGGTCATGGGGAGAAGGGGAGGGGGCCGGCCGGGGGAACAGGGGCACCGTGGCGCTCTCCCCCTGTCTAGACTCGCCTGCGTGGCTGCTTTGTCCGCTCGTTAAGAGGCGCCAGCTTTTCAGTGCGGGAATCCAGGCTCATCGGGGACAAAAGGGTGGCAGATCCCCCTGCGCTGGCTAGACGCTCTCGTGGCTGGCAAAGCATTACAGCTCCTCATTATAATTTGTGGTAAGGAAAGTGCCCTGTCGTTAGGAAGGGCAAAGGGGGTGTGTGCATGAGTCTCGAGTGCCTATTGGGGGGGCTATGTATTGCCTGCACACAAAGGGACATCCTTCCCCACCCACCCCCCACAAGACTTCTGTGAGTGGATCGGGGTGGATTTCCCCCGTGTTACAACAGCACCCACCTCCAGCGCTCTGCATTTGGCTTTCCTCAAGGTCTGAATGGAAGACAAGTGTTAATGCAAGGAGGGGGGCCTTTTGGAGGGGGGGGGAGAGGGATGTTGTTTGGCTGGCATGGAATTTGCTTCCTTTCTCCCGTGTCCCACAGGGTCCCCCCCCCATTCCCCCTTTCAGGATTGAGCCTAATGTCTCCATTCCCATGGGGGGGGGTTGGCATCCCCTTCAGCGTTTTGTTTTGCTGTTTTAATGGAATTTATCCTTTGCAGTTCTGATTTTAAAAAACCTAAGGTGACCGAACAAAACCCTGCTTTCCTTGAAATATTGTAGCTAAAAACCTGTTCTAATTAAGCATCATGGTCAGGTGCTTTTATGTTAATTTTAAAAGCCCCTTAGAATAAAAGCAACAAGGAAAATGGCCAGAAAGGTTAAGAATGAAGTGCCATATTTTACAAAATGGGCCACTGGGCTGAAGTTTGTGTGGCCTCGATGAAAGGATGTGAACAAGGACGTGAACAATGCAACAGGGACGTTCTGGCGAGGCGGAGGGGATTCTGGCAGAAAAGCATCTGCCTTTCCAGCAACCAGGCGCTCGCACACACCGTAAAGCCCCCCCCCCAGCAGGGCTTTTGACTGTCCGCTCAGTTGAGGGGCAGGTTTTTATGAAAGCCCCCAGCTCTTGCACCGGGCCTGCTTATTCAGGGTTAAAATGGGTGGTCAGTGTTAAATGCAAAACTCTTGCTACTGTAGGAGAAGGGGAAAGGGGGGGGGAACAGTGGTTGGGTTTTTCCCCATTGGGAAAGGTTTGAGGAGGCTCAGCAAATGCCCCGAAGGGTCACATGCAGTGCACAGATCCTGCTTTGCCAGCTCTGAAAGATACAGTGGTGCCTCGCTAGACGATGATAATCCGTTCCACTGAAATCGCTGTTTAGCGAAATCATCATCTAGCGAAAAGCATTTCCCCATTGGAATACATTGAAACCTGTTTAATGCGTTCCAGTGGGGAAGAATCGTCGTTGTCGGCCATAGGAAAGCTGCTTTGCGAACTGCCGATCAGCTGTTTAAATCGCTGTCTTGCGAAGCTTAGGTCCCGAAAACACCCGTTTTGCGAGCATGGAGGGAGCTGTCAAAATCGTTGTCTAGTGAAAATTGGTTTGCGAAGCAGGGACCAAGCATTGTCCAGCGAAATTCCCCCATAGGAATCACTGTTTTGCGAATCGCTATAGCGATCACAAAAAGTCAATGTCTAGTGAAAAAAACTGTCATGCGAGGTAACTGTCTAGCGAGGCACCACTGTATAGGTCAGATTTCTGCCTGAATAGTTTTCTACTTGGGAATTGTCTTTTGAGAGCATAGTAACAGATACTCTCTGTGTGAAAGGGGCAAGAGCATCATATGAGTAAATGGGTGCAGGTTTGTGTTTTCGGATTATGTTGCTGCCCTGGGGAATTCTGAGCAGTCTGAACTTTTAAGGTCACGATCCTTCCCAGAAAAGGGCCTTCCTGCTTCTTAGAAGCATGAGGCTGAGACTACTCTGTGTGTGTCACTCACCGACTCTCACAACATAATTTAGTTGCTCACAGACATCTGTGTCTGTTTGGGCTTCCAGAGGTGACGCCGTTTAAGTCAGAGAGAGAAGAATCTCTCCTTGGTTTTCTCAAGGGCAGCCTGGTGGCAGTCTAGGGCAGTGAGGGTGAACCTTTTTGAGCCTGAGTGCCCAAACTGCAACACCAAATCAACTTTTTTTTTTCAAAGTGCCAGCACTGCAATTAAAACCTGAATACTGAAGTTTTAGTTTAGAAAAATCAACTGCTCCTTCACTGCAAGGGTTAAATGCTTGTTTGTTTGTTTTCCTATGGGCTGTGTTAACAAATAAATACTTACCAGTCTTCCAATTCCCCTATTGGGCTAGACCGGCAACGGTCGCCATGGCACCCCTCTGCTGGACCACTGCACCAGCAGAGGGGAGTGCCGAAATCCCGGATCGGAGGACGAGTAAGTATTTCTCGATGGCAACTTATGGTTCCCATGCCCGCAGAGAGGGCTCTTGTGTGCCAGCCGTGGCACGCCTCCCATAGATTCACCATTGCTGGTCCCCCGTCCTCCCATTGCTTGTTTGCGCTGTGTCCCAGCTTTTGACGAAGAGGCCCTACGAGTCGTGGAAAAGACCGGAGTGTAGCGTCGGCTTGGCTTTGGGCCTTGGCCACAGGCGGACAGGGGTGCAAAGAGCCGGGGGGTGAATTCTCGCCACCCCCTCCCCTCAAAATCGGAGCACCGTCCGAGGCAGATCAGGGCTCGAGTCAGGTTTGGTCAGAAGCAGGCAGGGCTCTGATGGCTCTTCTGCAAAGTCTAGGGAGGCGACACTCAGGAGGCTGGGAAGAGGGACGATGATGTCCTGAACAACCCAGCTCGCCTTTCCAGATTTGTTGACAATTTGGAAGAGATTCCCCCCCTCCTCCCGAAAGCACCAGTGCAGGTTCTTGCCAGGAAAGGAAGCCTGTCATTAAGTCATGAGCCTACAGCGTTGGCTTTTGAAAACTAGCGTGGTAGCCAATAGCTTTGTGGCCGGGAATGCGTTGTTATTATTTTTGAATGCCTTTTGATTGAGCCATGGACTTCTAGCAACATCAGCGTCAAATCCACTGTTCACCAAGCAGGCTGTGATCTGTGATTTATTTATTCATTATTTATTGAAAAGGACCTTAAAATGTGATCTTTTCCCATGAAAACGCCCACCAGATCTGTACCTATTGCCATTCAAAGGCTTCAGAGAGTAGAATTAAAGACGCTTGGGGTGGGGTGGGGGGTTTGATTGCTAATTGCCGCCCAGAGTACACTATCTGTCTAGATGGGCGGGGTATAAATCTAATAAAGTAAAATAAATAAATAATAAATAATCAGGGAGTTGAGAGCTCTCTTACCAGGGCTTAATCGCTCCTGTTTGTTTTGTCTCGACACAATGCTCCAGCCCTCACCCCTGTTGCTTCCAAGCATCAAGAAAGTGTGTAGTCCTTGAAAACCATTGCCCTAAAGATGAACTTCTTAAAATTATTGAGATGGGCTTCGTGAGATCCAGCAATGTATAAGAAACATCTCTGGGTTTCTAAGAACAAACACACACACACCCAGTAGCTACTACCGTGGCCTCTTGGTGTGCTTTTACCTGCTGTGACCCGCACCAAGCTGGGCTTGTCGCTTTTAAAAATAACTTTCTATGAACTTGCTTGACACCAGCCATTCATGGCACCAGACCCGGTGGCTAAAGAATGAAAATGGACATCTTTTGATTACAGAGGAACATCAACTGGGTAACAGATCTTAAGCTCCAGTTCTTCGGTTCCCACAACCCAAGAGCACTCCTCGGTCTTCAGCTACGCTCCCTTTCTCATCACACCTTAAGCCCTCCCCGAACTCCTTCCGCCTTCAGGCGCCAGGATAGGCAGATGGCATGCACCCCCCCCAGCTGATCACTGGGCGTCCCTCTTAACAAGCAGCTTGTCCCAGGGGATTCTATCATGCCTATCGCAAAAAAGACCATCTCTTCAAGGCCACCTGGACCTTGGGGTCAAGAGTTTCTCCGTGGGTTGGCCTTTGGCGGCTGCCTTTTTGGGACTATGGTGGTTTTCGGTCCAGCTGGATCTAATGATAATTTTTTTTTTTGGTCCTGCTGTGTTTAAATTATGGAACCCAGGTCCCTCTTGTAAAGCAACACATGCAGTGGTTCAGAGGTGCGTCCTATCCATACACATCAGCTGCCTCTTAAGAAATAGCAATAAGTACCTGGCTGCTAACAAACTCCTCTGTTTGCTTGTCTTGCAGGATTCATGAATAAAATTTTCCATCCCAACATTGACGAAGCGTAAGTGAACTAAAATATTTTGTTCTTTCTTGGCACGGCCGTGGTTTTTGCTGGACGCAAGAGGGTTTTTTTTTGCTTGCTGTTTCCTGGCTCTTGTTTTTTGGGGGGGGGGGGCGGAGGGCAAAGGGAGACAACTATAAACGCTTTTCTCCCTTCCCGAACATCCGAAGGTCTTTTGGAAAGGCCGTGAGCACCCATGTATTCATCCTCTCGCCTGAAAGAAGCTGTGGGTTGAAGCTGGTTTTCACCTCTCCTTCCTTGAGAAGGTCCTGTGCTTCCCTGGTCCAGCAGGTGCTGAGCCTGCAGAGGTCCTCAGCATCCTCCAGGTGGGGCCAGGGACACCCTTCTGCCTGGGAGAGCCACTCCTGGTTCAGGGCAACCATACCGAGCAACTCGATGGAGCAACAACCTAAAGGAGGCTGGGGCAGGGAACAAACCTCATTTTGTTGTTCCTGACAAACCACGGGGAGTCATGAGCCCCTCACTGGTGGAGTGATGATGGTGGAGTGTAAAGGTCTGTCTCTGGGGTGTGGTGGCGCTGCGGGTTAAACTGCAGAAGCCTCTGTGCTGCAAATTCAGAAGACCAGCAGTCCTAAGATCGAATCCACATGATGGAGGGAGCTCCCATCACTTGTCCCTGCTCCTATCAACCTAGCCGTTTGAAAGCATGCAAAAATGCGAGTTAATAAATAGGTACCATCTCGGTGGGAAGATCACGGTGTTCCATGTCTAGTCGCGCTGGCCACATGACCACGGAAACTGTCTTCAGCCCAACACCTGCTCTACGGCTTGGAGACAGGGATGAGCACCTTGCCCTAGAGTCGGACACGACTGGACTAAATGTAAAGGGGATCCCTTTACCTTACCTGTCTTTGGACCCTTTAATCTCTCTCTCATCTCTGCAGTCTCCTCTCTGCTGCTGGTCACAGGGAGTGTGTTAATTCTAGAGAGGCAAAGTGTGTGGGGGGGGGCTTCCCAGCTCAGACTCCTCTGCGCTCCTCCTCCACATCAGCATTGCCAAGTCGTAAAAATCGAAGACATCACGCCATTTCTTTGTCTGTTTCAGGTCAGGAACTGTATGTCTAGATGTAATTAATCAGACTTGGACAGCTCTGTATGGTGAGTTTGGGGGATGGAATGGCACTGTGGCATGGCATGGGGTACGGGGCAGGTGTTTCTTTCATGTTTACCCTGGGAGCGGGTCCTCTGTCTGCTTTGATGGCAACGCATGGCCCGTGTGTTGCCCTCTGCTCTGCCCTGGGGTGGCCAGCGACACACATGGGAGAGATGCTGTAGCGATGTGGTGCGTTCCGTTGCCCCACTGTCATCATATCTTCCTCTAAGCACCATTAAAGAAAGAGAAATCATTGCCGCTGCTAGCAAGTCATACTTCTAGTATGAAAAGTGTCAAAAGCCTGTAGTTCTACAGTTTCTGCAGGGCGTACTTTGATTTCTGCAGCTTTAGTGCTTCTTTTTTATATATATATATATTGTGATTAACTGGCATGGTTCAATAAAATGAGCCATTGCCTTGTGATCCTTGAATCCTTTCTCTGGGTTTTACCATTATCCTGTCGTACTGAGCTTAGAAAATTTACAGGCATGCTGGTCAGAGGATTCTGGGAGTTGTAGTCCATTTTTTCCCAAGCTCCTGTACAGGATCAGGGTCAGTTTTCTGCAACAGCCAGAGCAACTCAAGTTAAATAGTGGGTAAATGGAGAATGACTGGTGTAAGACTTCCACTACTTCAGACATTGCACATCCCATAACAGTTCTTTTGTATTGATATTTTCAGATCTTACCAATATATTTGAGTCGTTCCTGCCCCAGTTGCTGGCCTATCCCAACCCCATAGATCCCCTTAATGGTGACGCAGCAGCCATGTACCTTCACCGACCAGAAGAATACAAACAGAAAATTAAAGGTAAGAGGTCAGATGGGGTATAAAGCAAACTGTGCTGGTTATATACCGCCCCATAGCACTCGGAACACTCTCTAGGTGGTTTAGAATTTAATGCTGCAGCCTACACATTGCCCTCCCCACCCCCACCCCCAGCCAGCTAGGTACTCAGTTTATTGACCTTGGAAGGATGGAAGGCTGAGCGAACCTCCAGAGAGCGACTTGTGATTGAACCCGATCATGTAGCAGAGTTTTGGCTGCAGTGCTGCAGTTTAACTACTGCACCACAAGGACTCCTCATATAAAAAGTCCTGCAGTGTGTCTTGGAACGCCAGAAAAGTCACACAGTAGCAGAGCCATATCCTAAACCCGTGAGCATGCTTGGAATCAGGTTGCGGATCTATCTCAGTTGCCTGCCCTACTGCAGTGGCCCCCAGCCTCTAGGTCCTGGCAGAGGCTTCCGCCGGCATCGTCCCTTTTGTGACCCATGATCGTGACCCACTTAAAGGTATGGGGGACCATTCTGGTCAGCAGAGAGGTGTCCCTGGGAGTCGCCAGGACCCAGAGCGTAGTTTCAAGGAAATGTTTTGTTTTTCATGTTTCCCTTGCGGGCATTGATTCTCTCCTCTTCTCTCCCTCCCTCTTTCTTCCCCCCCCCTTTTTTTTGCCCCCTCCAGAATACATTCAGAAATATGCAACGGAGGAAGCATTAAAAGAGCAGGAGGAAGGCACTGGGGACAGCTCTTCGGAGAGCTCCATGTCTGACTTTTCAGAGGATGAAGCCCAAGATATGGAATTGTAGTAAAAGACGTGTCCTGCTTTTCAGAGAGACTGACTTCCTAACCATGCGCTGAGAAGCAGACTATAATATTCATATTTAAACAAAGCAATTTTTTATTACTAAACAAGGTTTTTATGAATAATAGCATTGAGATATATATACATATATATATATCACCCTTTAGATCTTGATTTCTTGGTCGTTTCTCAGAACCCAAAGTGCATCATAGCACGTTTTCCCACATTCCACTTGGTAGCAATATTGACGCCCAGATGCCCCGTGCATGCCATCCGTTCATAATTCCATGTGAGCTGCATCAATCTTGTGGGCTACTGAACTGTCAACCCAAACAGCTGCTTTGCTAGGAAGAGGGGTCTGGAATCTTCCCTTTTCTTCTTCCTTCTTCTGCTTTTTTTTTAAAATTATTGGTTCCAAAGACAGCAGGACACCCATGGATGCAAAAACAAAACAAAATATACAAACAGCACTTTCAGAATGTAAAAGAGAAGTCTCGTGGGGGCAGGGGGAGAAATGCTAGTAAAATGATCAGTGGAGTCACCGGGCCTCTTTTTCAGTTCATCTTGGCTGCTTACACTTTGAATGGAGTTATATTAAAAAGAAAACAACAACACAATATCTACCACCGGAATTACATGGAGCTTCTTTTTCAGGTGTCAGGTTTTTACAAAGTGGCGTTTTGATTTTTTAAAGTACATTTTGTATGGCTCTCTGGTCTGCCTCTAGAGACTGGTAGCAATTGGTCTGTTTGCTTGGGGGAACCCTTTTTTGGGAAAAAAAAAAGCATACATCTGGGCTGTTAAGTCATCTTGCTGATCTGGATTCTCAAAGGTGTCGACTTCTGTTTGTAAGAGACAGAAAGGAAACACGATCCAGTATTGGCTTAACTTTTCTGGAGTACAGAGAGTCCAAAACCCATTGTGGTTTCAGCCAGACTCACTGGCGGGAGCAATGATGTGCTTAGAATACACACAGAAAGCGGCTACAGACCTGATTTGAAAGATCTCCTGTTAAGAAAGAGCCCTTTAACCGGGTGGATTTCTCCAAGCACCGAGTCAGTGGAAGGTTCCCTTGGCTGCTTCGGCCCTTGATCCCATCTCCCTCCGTTAATCTTTGCGCTTGCTTGTTCTCCAGCTGCCGGACAGCGGCGGTTGCTTTGTTGAACAGGCCAAGACAATCTAGGAAAACCTAATGGGGGAGGCGTTATTTCCCACCCACCCAGAATGGAATGGATCGCCAGAGTGCTGTTTTCAGAGATCCTTCAATTGGAAATGTTTTCATTTTCTGCCCCCTCCCGCCCCGGTGTATTTTTGAACCCGTGACGCCCCTCCTCAAGTGAATGGCAAGAGAATTGCGTAACCATAAATGCCTACCTGGGATGTTGATGATACTTGAATGTGGATAAGAGCAGGAGCACCCGAACGAGAGATGCATTTGCCAATGTGGATGTAGCCTCTGCTGTGTTTATCAAGGTTTTCCAACAGGAAATGTGGAGAAGGGGTTCGAAACGGCTCTTAAGGGGCCCTAGAGTGGAATCTTAAGACTTGGGTGACTCGAGTAAGAAGCTGAATGTCAAAGTAAGCTCAGCGCATTGTATTTCCCCTTCTTTTCTTTTTTTAAAATGCCATTAAAGTTTGGTGTCATTGTGTGTGCGTTGGGGGGAGGGAGTGTCAAAAGAGTACAGTCCTAAAGCGTGATGGGTTTGCCTCCCTCGCTTTTCTTTTTTGGAAAGATCTTATGTAAAGTAGAATTTAATTTTGGCATGATTATTTTCCTTTAATAAAGCAAAAGCATACCAAGTATTTGAATTATGGACATGAAGCAAAACAAAAAAAGTAATTCACCTTTCTTTCTTTCTTTCTTTCTTTCTTTCTTTCTTTCTTTCTTTCTTTCTTTCTTTCTTTCTTTCTTTCTTTCTTTCTTTCTTTCTTTCTTTCTTTCTTTCTTTCTTTCTTTCTTTCTTTCTATCCTTTCTTTCTATCCTTTCTTTCTTTCTTTCTATCTTTCTATCCTTTCTATCTTTCTATCCTTTCTATCCTTTCTTTCTTTCTTTCTTTCTTTCTTTCTTTCTTTGCAATGAAAAAGCAGTTACGTAGGGCTGTGGTTGGTTCAACTGAGCTGACAATTCTCCACTCTTAGCAAATGTTTCCCCTTGGAGGGCTTAGTATTAACTGTGGAACACGCAGTCGTGTGCTGTAACTGCTGATCCTCCCTCTTTTTTTTTCCCTTGACGTGGGAGAAAGACAAGCAGCTGCTTTTTCGGCAGAGCCTTTTAGAGGCTCCGGGTGCTGCTGCCTGCCGGTGCAGTGACCTCTTAGGTTTTATTTAGACATAGATTTGATTGCTGAGTTTGGCAGTGGTGATGGTGGTAACAATCTAAACAAAATAAAATTGTATTTTTTTTTCAGTATTGTATATACAAATATTATTGTTCTAATTCCCTTTTCTTTATGCAGGTAACTTTTTTTAAAAAAAAACCTCAATCCTGATGTATAATCAGATTTTGATGACTTTTAACACACCTCTCTGTCTCACAAGCAAGCATCTGTTTCTGTGTTTTGTTTTGTGTTTGCAAGCGAAGCAACACCCCTGTCTTCAGCTGAATAGGCAGGAAGAGATTTCCACTATACCATATATGATCCATGTTAAAAAAAGGATCTCCAGAAATGGAGCCTCGGCTTTCCTTTCTGCTTTCTCCCTTCTGTGCCACTGGTGCGGAAAGCGCCAAGGAGTGGGGGGGGGCAGCCTTCAAGGTGGTTGCCGGTCTGGTGGGGTCTTGTCGTAGGGAAAGATTTCAACCCCCATAAAGCTTCGTTTATGGGATGAAGTGTTGCCAGGATCCCCGCTGTTTGAAGTAACTTTGCAAGTGATTCCCAGGAAGCCAAAGCAAGGTGGACCAACGAAGGATCCGTCGTTCCACGGGGTCCGCCTTGAAATATGGCTGCTGATAAGAAGGATTTATAAATTTTCCAAAAATTTATAAATCAGAGGATTTAACTATCCTGGAAGGGCTTGCAATGGCCTCTCTCTCCTTTGCAAAACAACCACAGGTGTCTGAGCAAAGTTTCTCCCCCCCCCCTTTTTTTTTCTTTTCTTTTCCACCGCCCGTTTTTTCTGTTTTGTTTTTATTGGCTGAGATTTCCTGGTTGCATGGAAGGCCACAGTATACTCCTGCCATCTGGAACTGAGAAGCAGAACCCCATCTGAACTAACTTAGCCCGCCTGTTGTTTTCTTGAGATGCTCTTGTCGTTTTTTTCCCCCCAAGCTCCCTCTTGTCCCCAGGGAGCGTTCAGTCTTCAAAAGCTGCCTCCCGTTGCTAAGTGAATGCAGTCGACTTCAGATGCTGTAGCTGCCAAGTGAGCGCACCGCAAATTGCCCAGTGTTATGTGCACACGCTGTATATGGATGCTTAAGTTCTTACAACCGATACCTCCGTCTCCCTCTCCCCTTTCTGGTGGACTCGCAACCCCAGGAGAGGAAACCTGTGGAGGGTTTTCTGGCCTTCAGCCCTCGTTCACTTCATCGGAATGTTTTCTCAGCCATTGCTTTCCTTGAAGCACACCCGTTTTCTGTTCTTTTTTGCTCCTACTGGCCTCCCAAATCCCCCCCCCCCGCTTGGGTCTTCTTGACCAGGTCTCTTGAGTTACTAGGTACATAAGGCTAAGCGCCTTAAGACGCAGAGCGAGCGCCAGTGACTGTAGAGATCTGTTTTTGCCTGGTTCGCCGTACAGAGGGTGGGTTGCGGAGACGGGGCAAAGGTCTCTCCGTGACTTTGTCTCGAGATGAGGTTGGCCCACCGAGCACGTCAGACGACCAAGACAGCTCTGTGCCGGTTTGAGTCCCCTCTCTTGTACCGGTGGGTAGTTGATGCTTTCCTGCCTTCTTGCAAGGGAGGGTTGGGGGAAGGATCTACAGAAGGTAAGCAGATTGTGATGGTGGCATCAGAAAGGAGGACCACTTCGGCTTCCGGGGGCCCTGCGAGCTTTCTTGCAGCTTCGCTTGGAACAGACAATGGTCTGGAGGAGGATCCCGGGATGACCCCTGTCATCCCACCCATGTCCCACAGCGGGAGATGGGATCTGGGAATGTTGGTTTTATAAATACTGATAATAGTGTCTCACTTGTCTTGAGTTCTTCAGGCACTTAGAGAAGGGGGAGTGTGCCGTATGAGAAATGGCCTTTTTTTTAAAAAAAATGTTTCTTTTGCTGACTGTATTTGGTACATATGGTGTGAATACATACTTGAAGAGATAAAACAGGGCGGCCAGCCCCTCCATTGAGTCTCAGCTTTTTTTTTTCTCCAACCCCATCCTGCCTCCCTCCCAGCCACCCCACCCCTTTGCATTGTGATGATGTAGTGGGCACGCCTGAGGCCACGGCAAATGCCTCTTCTAAGAATTATAACCTCTCAAAATAGTTGTGTATAATTAAAGAAAGTGTAAACTTTTTTAAAAATAAAATATGTATATATACCTTCTCCCCTTTGCCTGATCACTTTGCTCCGGGAAGGTTTTTGGCAGTCGCATCTTCGAACCTGGCCCCTGCGATGCTCGTTGCACCGTGAGCGTCTGTCTCTCGTCTCCCAGTTTGGCGGCTGTATGTTTTTGCTTGGCGCTGATCCGCATTAAGATGAAACTGCCAGGGACCTGTCTTGTCTTCTCCTTCAAAGAGTGCATCTCGTCAGATCCTGTGTTTCCATCTCTTACCATAACGCGTCATTCATTTGGATAGGTGGGATCGGCGGCCAGATTTATTTTATTTAGGAGAGGCTACCCCAGATTATGACAAGGGACGTGGTGGCGCTGCGGGCTAAACCGCAGAAGCCTGTGCTGCAGGGTCAGAAGATCAAGCAGTTGTAAGATCGAATCCACGCGACGGAGTGAGCGCCCGTCACTTGTCCCAGCTCCCGCCAACCTAGCAGTTCGAAAGCATACAAATGCGATTAGATTAATAGGGACCACCTCGGTGGGAAGGTAACAGCGTTCCGTGTCTAAGTCGCACTGGCCATATGACCACGGAAGATTGTCTTTGGACAAAACGCTGGCTCTATGGCTTGGAAACGGGGATGAGCACCGCCTCCTAGAGTCGAACACGACTGGACAAAAAAAATTGTCAAGGGGAACCTTTACCTTTACCTCAGATTATAGTCTGCTTGTTCAGAAGTGACATGGACTCTTTCTGTTTGAAGATCAGGACCACACTGACAGATTCTGTCAGCCTCATCAGTCTGCTGGGGTCTACTTTAGGTTCTTTCGAAGTGGGTTGTGGTCCTCAAACGCTTTCAGAAGCCTCCCCCCCAAAAAAACTGCTTTGCTTTTGCTGTGACAAAGGAGAAAACAAGCTGTAGTAGAAAGCTTTTCCAACCACATCCCGTTGGTTGCTAAAAAGCTGTTGGGGTAATGGCAAGGGCTTTTCCAATTGGTACAATACAAATCGGAACATTTGGGGCTTTTGACAGCCCCTACGGTTGCCACCTGGACCATGAGTCATGCTTGCCAGAGTTCGTGGAAGTGGATTGACACATCCCAGTGTGGCCTGGAAGGGGAGGCCACAGGCCGTAGTAGTTATTATTAATTAGTTTTATTTAGCTGCCGCATTTCTCCCAACCAGGGACCCAAAGTGGCTCTTGGGGGTGGTCTCTTCCCTCTTGTTTGGAGAGGACCCAATTCACAAAAGAGGACCCAGCCAGGACTCTTGGCATTTCTTCCTCTGCCAGCCTCTGGGCCCGACGTGTCGGCACTGAAACCGCTTTTGGAAGCTTGTCGGAAACGGATCTGTGCAAAATTCACCGGCTTGCCAGAAAGTATCTTGTCTGTTTTCTGCCGATGACACTGGCTGTCGGTTGATGTCGTCATTTCATGCCATCAAGTTGGAACCAACCTCTCGCAGTCCTAACGGGGATTTTAACGTCCGTTGAACATTGAAGGAGTGGCTTTACTGGTTCCACTCCCCCAGTCAGCCTCCATGGCACAGTGGAGATTCAAAACCCAGACTTCCCAAGTCCCTGGTTCATCACCCTACCCGCTACACACCATGCTGGGTATCCCATCAGTTGATGCTCGTGTGCAGTTCAGAGTTGCCACCTGCCCCTTAAAAGCTATAAACGTAATGTAGAAAGTGCAGCCGGTGTTGCTAGTCGCAGATCTGGAAAAACACATGCTCATGGCAATGTGCTCCCCCCCCCCGCATATAAACAGAGTTCAATGCAAGCAGCTGGTCCAAGTCATATCAGCAAATAAGGAGCAGGACTTTTGTAGAGTTAATGGTCTCTAACAGGCCGTTGAAGGGGGGAAAACAAACTGCAAGGAGAGTTTGCAACCTTTCCGAGGAAAATCCATCTCTCTGGAGCCTGAGGCTCAGATGCAAGAGGGGGTTGTGGACTTCATCACCGTCCCTGCTACTGAGGAAGTCCTGGGTCTTTGACCCCACTAGCCCTGGGTCTTCTAGGAGGATGGTGTGCACTGGCCGTTCTTTTCTTGCCCAGGGCCCCTTCATCTTCTGAATCAGGG